AAGGCTGGTGGTTCAAACCCACCAGCCACTCCTCAGAAGGAAGATTGGGCAATCTACTTCTGTAGTGATACTGCCTCAGAAACCCAAGGAGGGGTTGCTATGACTTGGATCAGACTAGATGACAGTGAGTTTGTTTTTTGGTTTGGTCCCTCCTAACAATCTGTTCAAAGTTCTTAAGACAAAGCCTTGCCATCCTTCCAAGGAGCTTTCTGGCAGTACTTCTTCCAAGACAGATTTGTTCATTCTTCTGGCAGTCAAAGGTATATTCAATATTGTTACCCAATACCAAAATTCAAATACATCAATTATTTTGATCAATAATGATATTCAAAGTATTAAAATATCAACTTTTGTAAAGACTGCAACAGAGAATCTGCAGAAACAAAATACACACACAGGTATGCGCACAAATAAAATCGAAAATAGGGCTGGCCAATCTAGGCCTTTGGCAATGAAACCTGCTAGCCATGATTCCTGATGCTTCAGGATCACAGGCCCCTTGAGCTTCCAGTCAAAGTTAGTGACATTTCCTGCAGAAGAGCAAACAATGACCCAAACTTTCATGCACAAATTCAAGACACTCAAAAACTTGCTTAGAAGTATTCATATATACCATGTCCTCAGCTTCAGAAACATACTCTGCATGGTAGAACAAATAAGTTACTTCAGGAAAAAGGAAAACCTTTTAGAAGCAAGGGACCTAATCAATTCCTAAGTTTGCTACTTACTAGCCATTTAACCATAGTGCATGTATCCAGCCACTACTCTCCTTGGCTATGATACAGGAACAATACTGACACACATTCCCTCATACTGTGAGAAGAAAAGGCAATATGCAAGTCACTTTGTAAAGTGTCAAATGCTACACCAGAATTGTTTTATAAAGCATTTTATCATAAGGAAAAAGAAAGTCATTATTATAGAGCCTCAAAACTATGCCTTGAAGGTATTTCCTGTGTCTAGGGGGAATAATTTTTTAAATCTTCCCCAAAAGTCACTGAGTTTCTAAACTAGAGACAGAGTATATGAACTATG